CCAGGGCTGGACAACCCTTTCCAGGAAGAAATTTTCCCCAATATCCAAACTAAACTTTCCCTGGCACAGCTGGAGGCCGTTCCCTCTCCTCCTGTCCTTTGTTCCCTGGGAGCAGAGCCTGACCCCCCTCCAGCTCCCCCCTCCTGTCAGGGAGTTGCAGAGCCAGAAGGTCCCCCTTGAGCCTCCTTTTCTCCAGGCTGAGCCCCCCCAGCTCCCTCAGCTGCTCCTGCTGCTCCAGCCCCTTCCCAGCTCCGTTCCCTTCCCTGCACACGCTCCAGCCCCTCTGTGTCTCTCCTGTCTGAGGGTCCCAGAAGTGCCCCCAGGGCTGGAGGTGCCTCAGCAGTGCCAGCACAGGGACGGGCACTGCCCTGGGGCTGGGACACACCAGGGCTGGGGAAAAACCAGGGTCATGCCCAAACCTGCCCAGGTCATATTTTGGCTGCAGTAGCTTCACTCTAGAGAACTTTGGGCACGTCTTCTGCTGGTCTGGGCCTCCTGGGAGGACCCTGACGGGTTGGTGAGGTCAGCTCAAGGATGGAGAGTGGCTCGGAGGTGGCTGCTCTTGGAAGAGAGTGCCTTGAAGGAGTTAATCCCGTCCTTAGTGCACTGATGGAAGAGGCAGCACAGGATGCAGATGGGAGGGGATGGGTGTGAGGTTTCTCTGTGTGTGTGGAGGCACCACAATGAACGTGGGATGTGTTAGAGCTGCAGCTGAAATGTTGTTTCTCAGGGTTATGACCAAGAGCTGCAGCTTTGCTGCACTTTCCCATGTATTCTCATCTCTCCTGTCAGCAGCTCTCACAGGGAACAGGAACCCCAGCACACGAGGGTGACTGCTGCTTCCATCAGGATGGAAACCTCGGCTGTGGATGGCTCCTGGTTGTGAAGGTGACATCAGACATCTGCCAGGGAGCCAATCTGGGGCAGGTGATGGGAGACACAGCCTGGATCCCTGTAACTTGGCCCACCCTGGGGTTTTGCACTGGAGCAGATGAGAGATGTCTGGATTATTGGTGCTGCCAGCACAGCTCCAGCTCCAGCTCCAGCAGCACCTCCTGCAGTCATTGTCCCATCACAGCCTCCTCCTTGCTCAGAGCTTTCCCCCCATGATCCCACTGATCCCTCTCAGCCATCCAAGCCCTGCCCTTCCCACAGAGCTCATGCAAAGTGGGAGAAGCTCACACACAGCATTCCAGAGGGGCATCTTCCTAGCAGGGGGATAGGGAACTAAAAAAAAACCCCACAAATGTCCCCCAGCTCTTCTGGTGTGGGAGACTGTCCAAGGGTACCACAGAACCAGGACACCATGTCCTGCTCCGTGACTGTGGCACCCGCTCCTGATTCCAAAGTCCCCTGCCAGGCTGGAACGAGGCCATCCTTGTGCTCTGTCCTATGACCTTAATTTGATGCTGGCAGGAATTGTCCTCTGAGACAAACCAGAAATCTCTGAGACAAGTCAGAAATCATCTGCAGTGTCCCTGGATCCACCTGGCCAGGAGGTGTTTTAGGAGATGAGATGCCCATCCCTCCAACACTTCCCATCCCATTTGTCTCTGAGCAGTGTGATCCTCCCTGCAACCACTCTGACCCTGCTTTTAGGTCAATTTAGCCAAATTTCAGGCCACTAAAATGGCCTGAAAGAGAGGCCAAAGAGAATTGTGTCTCTCTGCATCCCACAGAAAGGGAACTGTGTCTCTCTGCAGCCCACAGTGCAGGTCTGCACAGGACCTGTGGGGTTTAGGGGTAATCAGATCAGCTGGATAAACTCTGTGCTGAAGATGCCCAAAGTTCAGGTTCAGCTGCAAAAGTCTCCCTGTGTCTGTTCTTTGACCTCCAGGGTGGGCAGTTGTGCATCTTGGCCATCACCTCTGCATCCTTCCTTTGCCCGAGGAAGCCCCTGAATTCCCCTGGTCCCATCTTTCCACTGGCACCAGAGTTGAGGAGGGATTGTCCACCTCAACATCAGCTGGCTGGGAGCACAGGGAGCAGCTGAGCTGTGTGTCCCTGCCCCAGGGGGGTGGGTTTGGATCCCATCCTCTGGGTACTTCCATTGTCCATCTCTCCCTGTGGGATTCCTGAGACCAGGGTGTGAGTTCAGGCTCTGAAAGGTGGAAGCACGACTCTTATCCACAGGGAAACATAAATGATCTACCTCCAAACCTGAGTATTCCCTGGAGCTCCTCTGAGGGGCTGCTTTTCCTCACAGCCTTCCCTCTGTGGATGGGGCAGGCCAGGCTGGCTGGCAGTGATTCTGTCCTGACACGATGTGCAAGCTCAGCAATTTGGGAACATCCAACAGCTGCACAGGCACTTTCTGAAGGAGAGAAGCCACATCAGAGGGGCTTGTCTGGTGTCAGAAAGGGAAGTGCAGATCTTTGACTCAAAAAGGGGACATGAACTGGGTTACTGGTCAGCAAATGAACCTGGAGCTGTTCCTCTCTCACCACCAAACGAGCCCATCCCGGCACAAGAAGCCTTTTGAAGGGTGAGGAATCCCAGAACGGTTTGGGTTGGGAGGGACCTTAAAGATCATCTCGTTCCAACCCCCCGCCACGGGCAGGGACACCTTCCACCTTCCAACCAGCCCAGGTTGCTCCAAGCCCCATCCAGCCTGGCCTGGAACACCAGGATAGGTGAAGAAGGCAAAGCTCAGCCTGTCCCAGGTGGGCTGGGAAGGGCTGGGGCACTGCTGGTGTGGGGGCTTGTCCCAGGCCAGCTGAGAACCCTCCAAAAACGGTCCCCCTCAGCAGTTTGGCTGATGCCACTCTTTGTAAGAAGGACTTGTCTCCAGGGACAGAAAGTGCCACATTTGGTGACTCCAGATGTATCCAGAGGTCATAAAATGTTCCTTTGTCTTTAGGGCAGGAAGGAGATTTTCCCCCATTCCTTTGTTTTATTCAAGCTTCACTTTTTTTTTTTTTTATCTCAGAGAAGATAAAAAGAATTAAAGTCCCATCCCTACAGTGCTGCAGGCACAAAACTTCCCTGGATATGGGCTCTTCTGCAGGGATCCCTGCAGCCACAGATTGGCATTAATGATCTGGATTTGCTTTTGGGATTAAAAAGAAAGAAATCTGTGAATGCAGACTGTGGCTGTTCCTGTGCAGAGGGGAATGTTGCAGCTTCGTGATTCAATGCCATCTTGTGATATTTAGCATTTTCCTAAAAGGATGAACATACAATATGAATTAAAAAAGAACCCCAAACAACAAGAAAAAAACCCCAAGTCTGTTCCTAGTATCCATAGTTACAGAGAAAACCTGGAAACCCTGAGGCTGATGGGCTCTAAAATTTGTACCACAAAGAAATAAAATTAAAAGCTGTGACATTTGTTGCTTTTACATTTATTTTTTAACCTGTAAATGCTTCACACAGACTAAATTTTTCAGCTGAAATAGAAGCTGGAGTTTTCCTTGATTAGATCCAACCTTCTGTGATCCGAACAGAAGGTTTTCAATCTAATTTTTTTTGGCCTTTGCCTTCAGGTGGAATGGCAAAATTAGGACAAGTTCACCCAAATGAGCAAGTAATTATTATTATTATTCCTTCCATGTACAGCCAGAGTACCTGGGAGCTCTTGTGCTACTTCAGAGCATTTTTCATGGGGAAAAATGCTGCATAATGCATGGGAAAAGTTTAACAGAAAATAGGGAATTTATTTTTTTGAAAGTCAAATAATAGGTGGATGTTCCAGATTTTAAAAAATTACAAAAGTAGATTGGCCAAAGCAGCAGGAAGCAAAATATTGAGACCATTCTGCCTCTGACAGAGGGGCAGTGGGAGGAGGTGTCCTTGCCCAAGGCTAGTTCTGATGAGGGATTTGCACATGGATCATCATCATCCCAAAGTGAGGAGCCCAAAATCTCCAGTGCTGCCCAGTATTTTATTGTCTTTACAATTTCACCAGTATTTTACTGCCCTGTGTTTTGCTGCTGATGGAGCCAGACTGTGGTGGGTTAACCCCACCTGGCAGCTGAGCCCCACAGAGCCCTCACGGCCCAGGGTGGGATGAGGGAGGGAATCAGAGGGGGAAAAGTGGGAAAAATCATGGGTTGATTCCAGAATCATGGAATGGGTTGGGCTGGAAGGGAAATGAAGGATCAGGTCATTCCAAGCTCTTGCCAGGGGCAGGGACACCTTCCACTAGCCCAGGTTGCTCCAAGCCCCGTCCAACCTGGCCTTGGACACTTCCAGGGATCCAGGGGCAGCAGCTTCTCTGGGCAACCTGTGCCAGGGCCTCACCACTCTCATAGGGAAGAATTCCTTCCCAGTATCCCATCTATCCCTGCCCTCTGTCAGCTTGAAGCCATTCCCCCTTGTCCTGTCACTCCAGGCCCTTGTCCAAAGTCCCTCTCCAGCTCTCTTGGAGCCCCTTTAGACCCTGGAAGGCTGGAGGGAGATAAAGAATAAAGACAGTTTAATACTTAAACCCTGGGGAAGGAGGAGAGCACTCCAGTGCCCACAGACTGTTCCACCTCTCCACCAGCTCCCTCAGCCACCACCCTCACCCAGGACAGTGGGGACAATCCCCAGCTCAGCCACGACACATGAGGGTGTTCCCTAAATCAATGCCAGAATAACTCTTCCCTCCCTTCCCTCTCTTTGGGATCTATGAAATGTGTGTTATCACATGATTTATGAATTCTCTCAGTGAAGTAATTTTGGGGGCACAGCCCTGAATTTCTTCCCCCTCCACTTCCCCAGACACAGACTGAAGCAGCAGCACAGGTTTGAACTGCTTCGTTTATAAACCATCCCAACAAATGGCCCCAAGCAATTGCATTTCAGGGTTCAAACTGTTTCCTTGGATTTTGTGAGAGGATTCCTAGAAAACACAAGATGCTCCTTAATAAAAAAATGTTGATATGATGCAGCTGGGTGCAAAGAAGAGGAGTGGGAACGGTGGCAGAGGATTAAGGCAGCAGAGCAGCTGCTGGCAGAGCTACACGGTCACATCTTACCCCAGCTGTGCCCATTTCTAACACAAATCTCTGCAATTCTTTCAATATTGTTGATTTTATTACGAGAACAGTTTAAGACAGAACAGCAAAATCTTGGCAAATTCAAGTAACTTTTAAAATGTAACAATGAGTCGATAATTAAGAGACTTTACGAGCCTCAAGTGTCAAGGAACCTCTTTGCTGGTTGTGGTTGTGCAACACTGAGGATGTGCTGGTCTCTCACACCAACATGTGGTGCTGCACTGTAACTCCACACTCCTGCACTCCCCTATCCAGCAGCAGTGCAGAGATTAAATGGAAATATGTTTCCTTCCATTGTTTTATTGCTGTCTCATCCCACTGATAACGTGGCTTTTAGTCTCCTCAAGTAATCTTCTATGTTTGGCAGAAACAAAACCTCTTGCCCTCCCCAATTACTGTTTATCCACATAAATCCTGTTGATTTCAGAGAGGAGAATTAACAAATTATTAAAAAAAATAAATATTCTTATGCAGGAAATATACTGACCCCTACAGTTAATACATTAGTAATCATTTACTTGCAGCATTAATTGCATGACTCAGAGTGTCTCAAGTTTTTATTTAAAAACCCCTAAACATCCAGAACACAGAGGCCACAGGGTGGGGGTGTCTGAGGCCTTCAGACACTCTGAGCTGGCTCTGACTTCAAAGGATGAATCATCAGAATCTGGTTGGTATCAGCAGAACTGGCCTGCACAATAATTGAGGCCAGTTTAGCCTTTCCCTGGAGGGGTTTCTGTCTCTTGGCTACAGGAAAATGATGCAGCTTGTCTGCAAACAAACTTTTTATATTATTTAAACAAAGGAAAACATATTTATATAGCAAAGGTTGTCTGAAACAGCCTCTGGAAGTTTTAACAACAGAGCAACTACTCCTTCCAGAGTTTCAGGATATATTGCAGTGAGAACAAAGAGTATTTTCTTTTTACTCTGTCCTTCCAGTGTGGATACAGCAGATAAAACCTATTTTCCTGGGCTGTGTCCATCACTTCCACGAAGTTTAACAGCAGAGCAAGAATTCTGAGTGCAGTCAAACCTGAATCTATTTGACAGAGACATGAAAATCTGCAAACAATACAAAGTCCAGGTACAGTCACACAGGACTCACTGCCGAGGTATAAATTACTGATATTCCTGGGCTACAGCTGCATCAGAGTGTTACAGCCCCATCAGAGTGTTGGCAGCCTCTGCTGCACAATCAAATGTCTTATTTTATCCCAGCTCTAACAGAGTGAAAAGCAAAACTTCTGAGAAGCCTTGCAGCTGAGGCTTCAAAAGCCCATCCTACCTTCAAGCACCGTCAGCTCAGCGGACTAGAGGCTCTTGTTTGCTTTTAATTACGGGGTTTATTCATTCAGAGGTCAAACTCCTGCTGTGCTTTTCTCAGGCCACAGTTGGAGCAGCAGCTCTGCTGTCAGGCTGGAGGTTGATGAGGGAGTTGCTGGCCTGGGCCAGCTCGGCGATGGAGACTCGCCCTCGCTGTTTGATGAACTGCGCCACGGCCGCCATCTCCTCCGGGGTGATGTAGATGAACTTCCCTCTGTCATCAATCACACCTACGGGGGGGAAAGAAAGGGCCTTGCAGTCAGCACTTCCCCACAGACATCAGTCACTGCTTTGGGAAGGGACCTTCCAGCTGCTGAGGCAGCATTTCCTATCTGGGGCAGGCAGAGACAACGTGCCAGCAGTCAGTCAGGCTTTTATCTGCTGGCTGCTGCTGGGGCTTGGAGCGGGGCTGGGGCAGTGGCCAAGTGCCACAGTGAGACCCTTTTTGTTCAAAGTAACACGTTCTTTTCACTGGGCACAGCTGGCTGGGAGTTCCACAGCTTCAGCTACATTGTTCTCAGAGAATCATGGAATATCCCGAGTTGGAAGGGACCCACGGGGACCATCCAGTCCAATTCCTGGCCCTGCCCAGGACACCCCAACACGTCCACCCTGTCCCTGAGAGCATTGTCCAAACCCTCCTGGAGCTCTGGCAGCCTTGGTGCTGTGCCCATTGCGCTGGGGAGCCTGTTCAGTGCCCAACCACCCTCTGGGGGAAGAACCTTTTCCTGGTATCCACCCTAAACCTGCCCTGGCACAGCTCCAGCCGTTCCCTGGGTCCTGTCCCTGCTCACAGAGAGCAGAGATAGGAGCTGCCCCTCATGAGGAAGCTGCAGAACCTGATGAGCTCTGCCCTCAGCCTCCTCTTCTCCAGCTGAACAAGCCAAGGGACCTCAGCTGTTCCTGATATGGATTCCCCCTCTAGACCCTTCACCGTCTTTGCAGCCCTCCCTTTTTGGTGCTGGTGTTCTGGGACCAGGCAGGTGGTGGAGAAAGGCAGAGCAGGGAGATCCAGGAGGGGATTCAGAGCCCCTGTGAGGCCCAGCTCAGCCTTTAAAGCTTCCCCTCTGAAAGGGAATAAAGCTCAGTTTCCATATTTCAGTTGCTCCAACCAGACTGAGAATAGCTCTCTCTGTTCTCATACATTACACCAAGGCACAGCCTCCCTGGCATGACTTTTGGGACACAGACACAGCCAGGGCAGTTACACATCTTTATCCTTTAATTCCAAGCACTCTGAGGTCATTTGAACAGGTACCCACATGTACCTGCCAAGACAGTTGTTCCCCAGCCATGACCACAGGCTCAGGTCACTAAATGTTTGTGCTGGCACCTTCCCCTGCTTCACCCTCAGAAAGAACAAGACTGCCCAGCACTAAACCAGACTTGTTCAGACAGAGAGCTCCCCACAGGCTCAGTCTCTGCTCACATTCCAACTTGGACCGTGTGGGTACGTGGCTGGGAACAAGCACTTCACTTGCTCCAGCACCCTGGAGTGCTCTGGGATGTTTGCTTCTCCCACAGTGTGCTGCATCCCAGTCCTGGGCTGTAGCCACCAGGCTGGCAAACCGCCCCAAACTATCCCAGGGATCCTTTCAAATTCAGATTTCACAAGGCCCCATTTGCAGCTGGCTGCTCAGCAACCCCCAAATGCCTTCAGGACATGGATAAATAAATAAAATACAGGTAAATATCGAGTTATCAAGTTCTACGAGGATCCTTAAAACGGGAATGACACTGGAAATCTCTCTCTGCCACAGGGAAGGCACATCCTGCACCACCACCTCTCATCCCCTCTGTGCCTTGGCTGTCACCTGTCAAAGTGCCATCTGCCATCAGGTCCTGGATCCTGTTAATCGCATCCTGTGCAGAAGAGAAAAAGGAACAACAAACTGATCGAAACGGAGGCAAAAAACATTTCACAGGTTCAGATAAGCTACAAACAGAGGTTTACATTTAATCCCTCAGTGTTAAGGGCTTCAGGGAAGGACACCCATCACTATTCCCACACAGACAGATGCAATAAGCCCTTTGGTCTCAGAATTTTCTGCATTTTGGGGTGTTCAAGTAACTTCACCACCCCAAAAGGAGACTTTAATTGCTGTTGCCTGACTGTTTTAAGGAACAAGGGGTGGGAAAGGCTTTTCCCAGGGAAAGGCTGAGCAGTGCCACTGCAACAGGCAAGTGCCATGAAGCACACTGAGGTACTTCTCCAAGAATCTTGCTCAACACAGTTTTTTTATATCTTTTTTTACCTTTTCCTTCAAACCTCTTTTACCAATCGAAAGCAACAACTTGTGGAATCTATGGCTGGGTTAATTCTATATATAGTTCCACTACACCTTAAGTATCTAAGCCTTGGTTTCCACAGTTCTGCCTCTCTGCCTTCCCTGTGTTTATGGAACTGCAGAGGCAAATTACAGTTTAAATTTCAACCCTGAGTGACTCACTGCAAGCTTAAATGGAGCTCTGGTTTAAGAGAGAGGCAGGGGCACAGCAGCCTGGACTAAGGGCAGTGTAAGCTGCTCTGAAGGCACACCCCAGGAGCAGATGAGGTACAGAACAGAAAACATTGCTCCATTTTCAGATTCACAAACGCTGTGGGATCCATTAACCAGCAGGCAGCTCTGAAAGGGCCACACTGAGCACTCTTCACTGCAGCAATCTCGTAAGCCAACAACCCTTCACTGCCTGGCTGGTACTTCGATGAATGGCCACGTTTTTAGGGCTGATTTTGCTGATCCTCACCAAAATCCAAGCATTTTCACTAATGCTCAGACACTTCCACAGACAGACCCCCATTTACCTGTTATCTCTCCTGTCCTTTTAAACTTATTGCTTGCACTTGCACCCAAAAGTCAGTACTTACACCCCAAAAGTCAGTGCTCACCTGTGTTCTTAAACCCAGATGTGAAGCCAAGTCCTCCAGCTGGATTACCTTTGTTTTCTATGGAAACAGAGAGGAGTTACACACAGCTGATGCATTAGCAGGTTGCCGTATTTTTTTTTTCCATTCAAATAACAAATTGCATTTACCAGACAAAGCAGAACCTGTCACTCTCACTAACTTTTCCAAGTAAGCACTTTTTTTTTTTTTCCTGATGAAAAACTCTCAAGTTACTTAAACCAGTGAGCTCTGTGGAAAGATTGAGTGCCCTGACCCACTTAGGGGAAGAGTCAAATCCATTTGCCAGCTTTTATCCTGGACTTTTTCTTACATTAGGATGAGCACAATAAACAGCCATGGACCTGTTCTCCTGGCATTTGAGTTTCTCAGCTGCTAACTTTAATTTCCAGTGTGCTTTATCAAGATCCTTTTTTCTCTGAGAGATGTTTCAAAGTACCTTTTAAAATCATCACTGGAATATATCAGCACACACACACGAAATCCAGCCAAGACTGGCAGCATTAAGTGCTTTAGACTGTGTTACTAATGTCATGTGTATTAATGCCATAATAATCTTCCTAAGCAAGCAAACACCTTATTAAAATTGTCAGTGTTGGAACTTCAAACTGTCATTTTGCTTTTGACAGAGATTCTTCCTGCAGGTTTTATCAGTCAGGGCACAGTCACCACTGCTCACATCTGTTTTTATGCTTCTCTGGAGCTCCAGAGAAAACACCTGGTGTGCTCATCTGGAGCTGCTTGGTTCCTGTTCTCTTCTCTGCCAAAGCTTTAGGGACTCATCTGTTTTTAGGTGTTTGTAAGGAGCTTGGAAAACACAAAACTGTCGAAAAGGTCAGTTAATATTCAGGACCACATTCCTAAAATCCATATATATATGGCCAACAGGAGCTGCATCTCCATTAAAAAATGCAATAGTTCAAACAATAAACTCATTTGTTTCTTGGGAGTACGACTGGAAGGACACTGAAGAAATCAAGGGAGGCTGGAATAGATTAATCTCTTTTCATTAATAAAATCAGACCCAAAAAAGCCCCCCACAGATTTAGTAGTAGTGAAGTTTGATGCAGCCAAGCTAGAGAACTGAATACCATGGACTGAACACATGGAACTGGAACCAGTCCATGGAATTCAGTTCTCAGAGCTGGGAACTGCCAACATTCGTCACATCTTCTTTTAAAAGGACTGGGGGGGGGGTGTTGGTGCAAAGCCACATAAACATGAAAAACAGGACTTAAACCTTCACTTAAAGATATTCACCCTCAAGGACCAAGTTTAGTAGAAGCTTTCCAGGACAGATCCTGCTGTGGATAAGAGCCCAGGGGGTGGGGTGGAATTAGGATGCATTCCCCACACACATTCTGAAATATAACGACAATGTGAGGTCCCAGGGGAATCAAACACTTCACCACATGCTTCATGTTCTAGAAATATGCTTGATTTCCATAGAGCAACATATACACATCCATATTTTACTGAATTCCTTTAATTTTAGGTGTGATTCTGCTGCTGTCCTCAGCAAGGGATGAAAGGGAGCAAGAGGCTGCATTTTACTTCCAACACCCTCAGGAATGAAGCACGGGGTGAGATATCTCCAGTCAGTTCTACCAGCACAATAAGTTATTCAACAGAAGAGCTAAATTCAATTTTACTTTTTAAAAAATGCCAATTACTCTTAATTTATACATTTTTCAGACAGCTCCGAGCAGCTCAGCGCCACTTCCTGTCAAGAGTTTCTGTGAACAGAAGACGAGGGCAATACATAATCTATATATTAAGCACACATTCAAGATTAAAGAAAAATATTTAAAGTGATGCCCCAGTTCTGCAGCTCATCTCCACAGAGGAAATCAGGTGTTGAGGCGCTTCTGAATTCGGTTTTCAGACCGAGTTTAACTTCTCTGACGTCAAGATGAAGTGACTAATCTAAAACTAGACACGTGTGTTAAACCCTGAGCTGAGACTCTGTGACTAATCTGTTCCACCACAACCACCAGGGCAATGGGTAGAACCTGACCCAGCTGTGGCATCCCTTGGGAGCTCTCCCAGCGTTCATGGAAGATCCCAAGGGACACTGAAACCTCCTCTTGTTTTACCTGTGTTATCCTAAGGCACAGGAGCAGAGGGAAGCCCAGCAGAGCTTTGGAAGGACTCCACACTGAGCTCTTAGCCCTGCCTGGCAATCCCTCACACCCTAAGGAAACTTACCCGTGAGGCAAATCTGTTTTTAAGTCCATGAGGGAAATCCAGGGTTTTGCTGGGATAACAGACAAGCAAAACTGGCCCAGAGTGCGGGATTTTGGATTACAAAATGATTAGGACTTCAGTAAGCATACAGGTGATTTGCTTACTAAAGAAGCCTTTCACACACACACACACACCACACATCCTGAGAGTTCAGTTTCCATGGAAGGAGGAAAGGGATTCATTAGAACAGAAGATTTGCATACCATTGTTAGAGTATGAGGAGAAAAATGCATCTGACCTTTGATACAGCAACAGTGGAGAGCAAGGCACTTGTCCTTACAGATCAAAAGCAGAAATCCCCATGAACACACCACAGGCTTTAAATACCCAACCTCACAACATGATGAAAGGGAGACTAACACACCCTGTTTAAAACAAGTGATCTTCTTATCAAATATCCCTGCCAAACATTAAGACAACTTTGCGAGGACAATCACACAACAAGTTGGGACTGACCTTTCCAGGGCAGTGTTTGAGGCACAAACACACCCTGGATGGCACACGCTGGTACAGCGACTCTCGCTCCTGCTGAGCTCAGATGCAGAGATTGTTTTCTAAATCAGTGGCTGATTTTCACAAACAAAAAAGCCTGAATGTCCCAAATCCCAACCTCCAGCAAACATTAAACTTTGAGGGTGATTCACCAGGCCTGTCTTTATAAAAAGACGGTAAGAGCCACATCCTGCTCCAAAAAGCCAAGACAGAGCTGTAATTACAAACCCTTTTAACAGTGATGGTTAAGTAAATAAAGCTTATCTAAGGTCTCACTTTTGTTACTTGCTGAATATTTAAGCAAATCAAAGAGCAAGTACAGATGTCCCTCTTTGACAAAAGGTATTTCACAAAATCTAACAAGTGGGGAGGGAGGAGAAAGACCAATTGCAGCTTACCTTAACGTATTCCAGGAATTCCAAAAGAAAGCTGCGAGACTGGACACAGCAAGGAAAACAACTGTTATTGTAAATTCATGAACATTAAATGCATCACAAACTTGCTGAATGCAAACATCATAGATGTTTGGATTGCATAATTCTGAAGTTTTAACTGTACACACTGAGATACCGAACTGGAAATAAAGATTATCTAAATTTAACCTTATGAGGGATTTATGACAAGTATTTTCTAAGATGATGTGGCTCAGGTACAATTTAAGTGTTTTCTGAAAGGAAATCTTTGCATCTTTCATTCTTCCCATCACACACCCCCTGAAATAACCGTGAGTTTGAACTTCATTAAGTTACATACGGACACTGAGGATGTTTTGTAGAGAGGTAAAACCCACAATGACTCAGGGCACAGCTCCTGCAGATGCCAAGCGTGGAGGCTCAGCCCTTTTACAAAGCCAAGCACCTGAAATCCGGTGCTTTCATGTGAGCAGCTCCATTTCCAAAGGCAATGCAAACAATGTGCATTGAAGTTAAGAGGAGATCAGGTTACTCCGCAGCCCTGGAAATCAATCAGCCTTAATTAACTGCTTTAGCTCTGGACTCAGGAGCTTAATTTTCAGCAGGAGTTTCGGCACAGCAGCCCCAACAACACAAGGCAGAGTCAGCTTTGTAACAGGACACTGAAGTGCTTCATCCACCACGAGGCAAGGGTGGCTTGTCCTTTCTGCAAGGCCACTGTCTGCACGTTCTCATTTCTGAATATGACTTTTAAATCACCTCCAATTAAAGTTCTGACTCCCCACCCCGACCAAAGTTAGCTCAGGTTGACATCCAGGCATCATCAAGAGCCTTCCAAGCTCTTCAAGGTGAGGAACACCCTTCTCTCTTCTCACATATAGAAAGATTTATTTCTTCTTGACAGGCAGCTGTGAGAACATGGGCAATAAACACATTTTCCAGCTTTAAAGGGTGCCTGAAGTGGAACAATTTAGTATTTAGGTATAAACTCATCTTCTAACAGGATAGGCACAGATTTTTGAAAGAACTTTCAATGGAAAATCTGCATTTTCCTGTTCTCTGCACCTCAGGAAATTCCCATCACCATCTCTTTGGGTTAATCCTGGTGAGATGGAGGAATTTTTCTTAATGGGAAGGGGTCCACAGTGAGAACCTGTAATGGGCCAGGATTGCTTGACATCAGGCACAAGCCCCTCAGCTCAAAGCCACTCTCAGTCACACTAAAGCAAATCCATTTAATTCAACAGGGTCACTTCAGCAGAGGAGCAAATTCACAGAAGGGTGAAATAAATCTTTCTCATGAAATGCAGTGGGCAGCTCAAATTTGGCAGCTACAACCCCAAGAGCAAGTCCTGCATTTGATGGCAAATAAATTGAGTCTAACAGGTTTTCAGCAGACAGAGCAGAGAACTCTGCCTCCCACAACAGCAAAACTTCTTCAGGTTTGCTGTGATATTATACCAAGTCTCACATTTCAACCACCATCCCCAGCAGCTCATTTGCAGGCAGTCACAGGAGAGCATGCAAGGATGTTTTGCATGAGTTTGAAATATTATCATTTGCAACATTAAATGTATGATTTTCCAGAGCATAACCCACAAGCACCCAGGCTGTGTCCTGTGAATTCTCTTAACAAAAGTTTTTTAAGACAAGAACTTGGTTTTTCATTTGATTTCACAGCAGGTCTGTTGGTGGAGAAAATAAGGCCAAACCCAAGCAATTGCCCCCAAGATCTGTGGGCACCACCAAACTCCAAATTTAGCTTTGTGGGCTCACTCTCTATGGGTGATGACAGTAAAACATTATCTAAATTCCAAAAGGAGTTTTATTTCAGCCCTTGGATGAGGGAGGAAAGGACTCATTTCCAGTGATATGCATTTCCCTTAGCACTCTAAACTAACTCATAGGGGTCTGGTATGAGGAACTGTAGCATTCCCCAGGGAATATTCCAGATTAACCTGTGCCACAGACACAACTTAGCTCTCACAAGCAAAAACCTTTGGCTGACTCCTCCTTTCCAGTTCATTTTACAGGAGACAAAATGCAGTGAGTGCAACAAAGAGAAAGGAAAGTGCAGAACCAGCCCAGCACATACCTGTTCCTCTGTCATTGACTCTTCAACTCCTTCCTCTTCAACTACAAAACTCTCCTTCAGCTTCAGGTACTCTTCATACTCTCTCTTCTCCTCTTCTTCCTTTGCCTTTCTTTTTTCCTCTTCCTGGACAGAAAAGATGACAAGGGGTCAGTCTGCTCCTCCCTAAGCTGGGTTTAGTTTTAAGTGAAGCAGCAGCTTCTTTCTCTGCAGTCAGGAGATAAAAAGTTTTTTTAAATGAGCTGAAGTTCTCCCTTGGTGGCATCACTAATTTCACAGGCCACCCTCGAGGCAGTGACCATCTCACACATGGTGTGAGCTCACACCAGACACCAAGGCTGGCTCTCACCAGGTCTGAGAGAGGGCACAAAACCACTCTTAAATAGCAACCTGCTGGCTTAATTTGCATGAATTTGCTTCTTCTGCAGATCCCGTGACAGGAAGTCCCTGCCCCAACTGCACTTTGATGCAACAGCCTCATTTTTTGGTAACTGGCCCCAGTTCTGCTCTGACACTTGAGCACGCTGGGAGTGACAACAAGGAGTCACACTGGTGTCCACCTGTGCGTGGGAAGAAGCTCCTTCTGTAAAAGTTACAAGCAAAATCAAGTTTTCAAGTAAAATCTCTTCCTTATGAAAACTTCCCTTCAGCAAACTGTGCCTACATGGAAGGTAAAGAACAGTATAAAGTATTTCAGGCGTAGGAAACAAGGTATGGTTGTATTAAAAAAGGGACTTTTGCATGGTTGGCTGTTAACCAAAATCTTCAGGCTCTATTTTTAGTTATCTGCAATAAAATACTTCGTTGCCTGCCCTGAAAGAAATATTAAAGTCTTAAAAAACCCTCCCCAAAATGCCAACCCAGAAAACTCCAAGCGCAACATCAATGACATGGTTTTGTAGAATTCACACACATTCACAAAGCAAAACTGTGATTAAAGGTTTGGGAATGTGACAGATTACTTAATAAGTTATTAAAATAAGAACAGGTTTTTACTGGGAGTTCATAAATTCGCAGCTTTCCATGATTTTCTCTTAAAATTTATTTTGCTCTTCTCCAAAACACTTTACAAGTGTAAACTCAAAGGCTGGACTTTATGATCTTGGAGGAGGTCTTTTCCAATCTAAATGATTTCATGATTCACAGAGAATAAAAGTGGTTCCTTACAGGACTGTTTCCTCCACAGAGAAATTAATGTTTGTGCAGCACCTGGTACAAGGAGATTCCAAATTGAGTGGCCTCTGGCTCTTTCACATTCCAAAGGCTGATTAAAAACTTGGACAGATGAGTTCTTCAAATTTCAGTAACAATCTCGGGGCATTCCTTTGCCATCAGCACAGGAATTGATCTTTTAAAGAACAATTATATTGATTTCTAAATGCTTGCCATGCTGCATCTTTGACACTAATATGGTAATTGCTTCCTTTAATAGCTGGAAAGCAAACATTTGTTCCATTAAACCAGGAACAGACAGGAGCAGGTCATTAAACATATTGGAAAAAATCCATATTAAAAAAAGATGCCCTGTAAGGCCAAAACCAGCAAGGTACCAGAAGTGGAGATGGGAGAGAATTGCCCTTCAATAAAAACCAAAGAGAAAAGAGTATTTGGTTGCCATTTTATTTAAGCAAATTCCCAGAAAGTCAGGAGAAAGACTCTTGCCAACATCCCAGGATGAGAAAAACAGGACTGAAAGGATCTGACTGTATCTGCAAAGCCAAAGCCATTTTTTAAACTGCTATCTCATGAAAAATCTACAGATCTAAGGAAGCTCTTGAGACAAAACAAGACCATTTTTGGGTCATTCATCACTGTAACAATTAGCCCAACAGCACATTTTCTCCCTATAAGCATTACAGGTGCCAAGAACAACAAAACCATATTTCATTTGGAAGTGACAACAATTGTTCCTTTCTTGTAAGTGCAATAAATTTAATCTTGATCCTGGAAAGCCATGAATAAGGTTCTTCCCCTGGTCTGTTAGAGAGCTTGTAATTCAGCAGGGTTTGAAAATGAGGGGGAAAAAGAATAGTCACAAAACCTGAAAACTGCTTTGGCAAATAATTTCTAGATGGTTCTACAAAATAAATAAATGATCAGAAGACAGCGTCCCATTTGTAACTGAGAGCAACAATAACTAAAATGTATTTTCCAGTTTCTGGATGGCCTAACAAATGAAAAAGGTTCCTCCCTGTCTTCCTTCCCTACCTGAAGAACAGCATCTTCCATTTTTTTAAAGCATCTCAGCACTTCCATTTCCAACAGAGGTAGAAAAGCAGCTCTGTTGTGAGACTGGCAAAGCACTCAAGCTACCAGCCCTTTTCTTTTGCTTAAAAGCCAACAGCAACCCGTTTTCCAGATGCTAAATTCTGGTCAGCAGAGCATTTCCAGGTGGTCTGAGCCACTGCTTTGGTAGCTGAAGTGCGTCAGCCCTCCAAGCTTCCCGGTGGTTGTAGCCTCTTCCGTAACACAAAGTATTTCCAGATGCTTTTTCATCTAATAATTAAAAATTCATGCACAACCTCATATACTTGACAACCTAAATTCACCTACGATTCAATCTCTGCAGAAAAAGAAGGATTTAGCCAGGCTGTGACCTGGTCCAGAGCCAAGAGCAGGGACGACTTTGCCCAACTGCACGAGGAGAATCCATGAGGAGCAGGAGAACCCGGAGCAGTCGGCATGTCTGGTCACATTTATTCCCAGCTTTTTTCCCAGGAAAACAATCCCACTTTGGGAGGGGATTGTTTCCCACAATATTTTTATTGGGGGAAAAAAAAATTAATCACTCGAACCTTTCTTCCTTCTGTTCTTTTCCTGTCAAAATGCCCACATTGTCACTGCTGGGCTGACTCTACCTCTGCTTGCACCAGTCTCATGTGCGACCCCAGAGCTTCCAGAGCTCCATGCAGTCCATGGATCTTCAGCACTCCAGGAGACCCAGCACATTATCCCTCTTCTCCCACATGCTCGAGTCATGCAGCAGTGGCATGGAAGCCTCAGGGTCACATTTAGGCAGCAGCATTCCCACAAAACCCAGTGTGTCTGCAGGAATAACCCACGGGAAACAGGCTCAGCCCCTCAGGGTCTGCTCAGGGAACAGAGCCCAGGCCTTGCTTCCTGCAAGTCACACGGAGGGCACTCGGCTCAAATACAGGTTTTAAACCCCAAATCTTGGTCTGGCAGGTTTTTTGAGCCCTCCCCACTGAGATCTCAGCAGTGCAGCAGTGGCTCAGAGCTCAGAGATGCTACCTCCCCCAGCCATGGGTGGGGTGCTGGGGAAATCCCAGCAGCCTGGAAATTTGGTAACTGCAGATGCTTCCCTTCAGCTGCTTTTATTTTTTTTTTGTCATTTTTTGAGGCAGGTTTGCCTCTCTCCTCACTTACTTAAATGTCACCCAAACTGTGGAGCACTTGTACAGTGCAAAGACTGCTTTTTGGTCAGTTCACTACACTGCATGTGAAGAACAAACAATCCCACTTTGACAATATTTTTATTGGGAAAAAAAAATAAATTAGTCACTCAAACCTTTCTTCCTTCTGTTCTTTTCCTGTCAAAATGCCCACATTGTCACTGCTGGGCTGACTCTACCTCTGCTTGCACCAGTCTCATGTGTAACCCCAGAGCTTCCAGAGCTCCACACAGTCCGTGGATCTCTTCCCAACATCCTTACCCATTCCTATACTGGATCTGGTCAGCACCAATTCCCTCTGCACCCAGTCCCACCTGCTCACCAAGGACCTGGACTTGCTGTGAGGTTCCTTTCAGATCATCACCCTCTGCCTGCCTCTCACCTTCATCCCAGGGATTATTTCCAAACACATTCCTTGTGCCAACTGCACAAGGGCCCAGCCTTTTGCCAGGTGAAACCCAGAGCATCCTGAAAACTCTTGCAGGCTTAAAGCTGGATTTCTGGGATCACAAATTTTGCTCAGGAGGTTCTGGGATGCTGCTTGAGAGGAGAAGATCTCCCTGCTAGTGAGGAAGGCAGAGCCAACACTGGACACTCTCCAACCACCACCTGTACCTGTCACTCCTTTGTTTCTGACTGTTCCCTTAACGTGCAGGATGAGGGAGAGCATCCTGGTTCCCATGCCAAGTGCTCAGAGGTGCATGGACCAAAGAAACCCTCCTTGCAGGGCATCCAGGTTTTGTGCTGTTAGTGCAGCTCCTGCAGGAAGCAAGAAGGGACTTCACAGTAAATAATTTGGCCCAGAGCAGATGGATCTGTAGGAGTTCTGCCTCCCTCACTGCTTAGGCAGAATAAGTGTCCTTATCCCCTCAAAATCAGAGGAGAATGAGTTTTCTGCAAGCTTTTCCACTTGTGCTTCTTCAGGAGGAATCAGTTTTCAGGAAAGGATACACACTTGAAAACTGATGCTTGAACTGGAGTCGTCTCTCTCCATCAGCCTCCAGAAATGCACTGTTTATGTATGAAAAAATGGATATAAATGCCAAACAGATAACGAAAAGCTCTGCTGAGAAACACTCCATGCTCACATAACACTAAACATAATAAAATCACTGACAACTGGTGCCACTTCTCACATGATCAAGTATCAAATCAAAGAGTAAAAACTTTAGGGTCTGAGTTCTCAAAAAGCTCCAAGAGGACCCTTGTGTTCACGGCTGATCCTCCCTTTCCATAGCTCTGAAGATCCAGGCCATTTTTATTCAGGGACTTAAATGCAAATTTACAAAAATCCCTGTGCACAGGCAAAGACCAAAAAAAAAAAAACCATAAAAAAGCTCTCTTAAGTGAGCAAACAGCAAGGTTTTGTATGAAGACCCTGCATTGCAACATCAGAGGAAGTTGGCTCTCATTGATAAACCAGCTCACCACCAAAAAACTCCAAGAGGTGAGAGGGAAATCCCCAGGGCAAAGCAGGGCTGAGGCAAATGCCAATTATAAAGGAGCTTCCTCAGGCCTGCAGCCAATCAGGTCAGCAGAGCACTGCAAAGGAAACCTGAATTTAAAAATATATTATCTGGTTTGCAACGCCGAAGCCAAGGAGCAACCACATTTTATTTATAAGTGCATACAAATGTATTTAAATAGAAGCAGGGGGTTATTTTTCTCAAGAATATGCAAGATTTTAGCCCCCATAACTCCCTTGAAGGGAGTTTAGCACGATTTTAGTTGTACTTCCTGGGAGAGAGAGTGAACAAAAGGTGAAATTGGAATTTAGCTAAGAAAGTTGGCTGTGCTTGTTTGGGGATTTGCCACTGTCACTGTACCTGCAGAAATACTCTGATGTGCTGGAAAAGGAAGGGAAAAATGAGGTTATCTGACAGCTGTAACAATTCTCAGACAAAATTCAGTGATAAAATCTAACTTTCTTGTGCCTTGTGGGATTATATAAACTACAGCAATGCGAGTAGTCAAAATGCCTCCAAAAACCATACAACCAGCTGGATTTTACCTCATGACTATCAGTCACTACTTGACCTACCTTTCAGAATTTTGCCTTTCCACCTCCTAATTTATAGGGGGGGAACAGCATCACCCTGTGTAGTCCACAAGGGCTTACTGGTGACAAAACATTCCTCGTGGAAAGGAAGGATTCCTTCTCCAGAGGAACATATAAATGACATTTTATTCTGTGGATTCTCCAAATCCCACAATAAACCCAATGATCCTTTCACTGCTTGCAGGGGCCTAGAAGAGAGGCACCATCCTCTCCAGCATTTGCAACAAGATTGGAAAGATAAAATGATATGATCCTAAAGACAGGCTCTGCTTACAGGCACAGTAATCAAGTATCCATTAATTCCATTTTTCTCCCTTTCCATCACCCTGTCAAGACTAAATCACTGCAGGTTTGTTGTTACCAATTCCCTGTGGTGCTTCTGCCTTTGCTGAGTGAAGCAGGAATTGGAGCAATGCAGCCTAAACACGGACAAGTCTTGAATTGTTCTGTTTCCTCTTCAAGACTTGGATAAAAACAGACTTAAAATTACTAGAAAACAGTTGAGGATGGACCTTAAATATTGTCAGATACATTTACTTCGATGCACACTCAAAATGTTCAGCAGTTCCTGGATTATCAATTTAGACACAAGGAAAAAAATAAAATATTGAAAGGATTTTCCTCTGAGAGGCAGAATAATGTTGCTGATGTAGCCTGGTGGGCTGGCTTTGCTCTCCTGATAAACACTGGGAAAAATAAGCAATCAAAGCAAACTAAAATGGCTTAAAATGACAGAATTTAAGTATCTGAGGAAGGTATTGGCTAAAGTGAACAACAAGCTGGATCCTGGCATTTGGGCAGTCTTCCCAATTGTAGTAAGTACTCCCTTGAATTGTTGTGCACAAAATTTAAAAATCAAAACAAATAAAAAAAATCAGAGCCCCAAAAAATCGCCACCACCACAGGTTTATATTCCTCTTTTTCACTGAGCCTTGCAAAACAGAGGTGGAAGTGCTTTAGTGCAGTCTTTACTAGGAATACTGGAAACTAAAATAAAAATAATAAGACTTTCCTCATTCAAACAAAATAAATTATGCAGCCCTAAACTGCATAGAAACAATTAAAAAAATGTTAATAAGCACTCTCTGCATGAAGAGATCTCTGGTTAGAATTTCACCCTTACTTTCTACTCAACTTTTCAACCATGCCTGACTGATCCTGATTATCCAGGTAAACCCCAGGTCAAACCCACAGGCAATCCCAGGATAACATCCCTGTCCTGTGCTACAGCTTCCTTTGAGCAGGTTGGCCAAGCTCAGCTTCAATTTGGTTTTTTTGGAACTCTCCTGCCCCCCCTGGAAGGACCTGGAAGTTCCAGTGCCACTGGAAGTGACTCACAACGTCAGTGTCCAGCCAGTGCATCCTTCTAATTCCCCCAAAGTACTGGAGTCATCCCAACTCACTCTTCAGGGTTTCGAGGACATTAAATTCTCAGAACCGTAGGAAAATATTAAAATAAATAAAACAATAAATCAGGGAACTGAGCAGAAACAAAACATGTAAAGGAATAAATCACTGGAGGGAAAACTTGCCATCTGAGTTCTCTGTTATGCCAAGCCCCACAGAGCATGGGCTTTAGAGGCAGCCAGAGCTCATTTTGCCTCTTTCCAAGCTGGAATTATGAGGGGGACAAACTGGAAATACTTGGGAGAAAAGCAGAGTGGCTGCAGAGCCCAGAAGGCAGGAGCTGGTGCTGCTGGAGTGTGTGGACAGGGAAAAAGAGGCAGCTGTGGATCCAGAGGAAAGCAGGTCTGTTCCAACACACCTTTGGAGTGGCCAAGACCAGTTGTTCAACCTCAGGGTTCACTCTTTGACCCCCACCAGGTATTTCTGAATTCGTTCATCTCTCTGGAAGGGAAGCTGTGGAATTACTGATCTCCTGGAAGTTTGTTCAAGCTGCTGTACAAGTCAAAGTCTTGGGCTATGCTACATAACCTGATGTTTAGAACAGACATTCTCCTCCTCCACTTCAATTTCTGAAATTCGGGAGACTTGTACTGATGAAAAGGAAATAAGAGAGTTCAGAAGAGGAAAGATTTGTGGGGGAATAACCCCAGAGGTAAATGGATATTCACATAAAGATCTCATGGATACAATCTGCATGTGGAACATGTACATTATTTCTTTAAAACACTGCTTTTTCCTGCCTTCATGCCTCCAACAGAGGAAAGGGAAAATTGTCTTTTCCTTTCTTAAAACATTATCAGCGACGCATTCCCCTTACACAACCTGCACTCAGAACAAATTAAAATAAATCTACAGACCAGAGACACACATTTCCATGCACATAAGTATCCCAAAAAATTCCCCAGTGAGAGCTGGAGGCTGTGCTCCCCTGGGACAGCAATTGTTCAGCACAGGGCCGTGCAGAGCACCTCGGTCCTGACCTCCAGCAGCAAAAAGCCACCACAACCTGCAGCAGCACCAGAGCATGAAGTTCTCAGCCAGCAGCACTGATGCCCTGAGTACACAAAGCAGCTCTGAACTGAGTTTTCCTCCCTCACTAGTGAAAATTATTCAACAAAAGCATTTCAGCTGAGCAGCACCTGTTTTTCTGGGTCGCTGCTGCTGCCACACACTGTCACGTGCGCAGTTTAGAAACCTTTAATTGGGAGGTACATGTAAATATGGATAATTGGAATAAAATTATATGATTTTACACAACAAAAGTTGCAAAATCAGTTGTTGATGCCTTCCCCTTTCTGCCCTGCTGGTCACAGCTGGCAGCTCAAAGGGAACAGGGGCCCAGGGAAGTTGGGAAATCTCCGTCCTCGGGAGACACTCAGAGCTCTTCTGGTCAAAGTCCTGAACAAGCAGCTCTGCCTGGACATGGTTTGAGCAGGACACACAGAGTTCCCTCATCACAGACCTCACACAAAACAATTCCAAAGACAAACCTGGCCCAGTATTTCCATGGATAAACACAACTAACCCCACCTGTCGTTCCTCCTCCAGCCGTATCCTCTCCTCTTCTTTCCGCCTTTCCTCCTCTCTTTTGGACTCAAGTCTTCTCCTTTCTTCTCTCTCTGCTTCCTCAGCCTGAAAAAAACAAACATTATGCAAACCAAGCCTTACTCTTCCTGAGTGTACATTTTTTAATTTCATACTGTGATAGCATGAGGGGGTTTCTTACTGTCTTCCTAAATCCATGCTCAGAAAGAAACATTAAAAATAATAATAATAATAATAAAAATAAAAAGTCAAAAACATTTAACTTCCCCTCCCCTTTAGAATTACCCCTCTCCCTTGTATTTATCTGTACCTCAATAAGGCTTTAAGTTTATTACTGTAGTAATATTAAGCCATATTGTGTCATGGCATTCCATTTCTCCTCACTTAAAGTTTAGTTAGAATGGACCCTAAAAGGAGAGGAAAACAAAGAATTGGGAATATAAACTCTGTAAAACCAAGTGCATTCAAATTCATCATTAACCTGGGCAAAATCTCTTAAAGAAAATTTGTACTGGTCTCCTAAAATACTTTTGTTTTTAAGCCAAAGAGATTGTTGAGAAATGGGGGAAAATAAAAAGGGCATTTAGTGTATTTTTTATAGATTTTTTTTCTTCAGTATCTTCAGTACACTTGAATTTGAAAATATATTAAGAGAACAAGCAGAAAACATTCAAATGGAGGATCAGTGGCTTTGAATGTTTCAGAGAAAAAGCCCCAACCAAGGAATTTACCTGTCTGCATGGGAAAATAAAAATCAGCATGTTTTAAAATGAAATAAAAGATTCCTCACTCCACCAACTGATGCTCATCTCATTTCACTCAACTTTGCTCAGATTTTCCACAAAAAAGAGGCCAGTTAAATAGAATGAATATGGAAAGTAACAACACAGTGATGAAAGCACTGAGTGAGTGAGAAAAGGTTCGCAATGGAAGTTTATATAGAACATAATAATTAAGTTTATTAACAACTGCCCCATCTACAGGACAGGTACCACTACACTGTAAAGCAGATACTGGATTTAAACCTCAGGGGACACTAAAATCCCCAAGATGGGATTTCAGAAGCTTTGTTTGGACTCTCCACACATTAAAAATATTCATACAGAGTCTGCAAAAAATATAAAGAACAACTCAAAGGAATTAGTGCCCAACCTGCTGCCTTCCCCAAGCACACTTCAGAAAGCTGCAAAGAGCCTGCTGCTTCCCTGGAATTAACAGCAAAATGCTTTTCATTGTTCCCAGTCCATAAAAACAATAAATGGATGATCCTCATGGATCCTTTCTGACTCAGAATATTCTGTAAACACAGGTAAAGCCAAACCAAGTTTTTGCACTATGAGAGCACATGAAACCCCAGTCACAACTGCCCACAGTTTTGTCACAGTGTCACAACAACACCGTGTGGGTTTGGGGGTGTTTTTAAGGGCAGACAGTACTGACATTAAGGCACAAGCCAGTGGAAACATCTAATAAAGAGCACTGAAATTTTAACTCCTTTCCTCCCCACAAAAATGCCAGAGAACTGAATGGAAAGAAAACGAGACTCCGTTTTCCCTCCTGGGATATGACAGAAAAAGCTGAATTTACAGTTTTAAAATAAATCGACAATGTTTGCAGTGATGCCACTGGTTTTGCCTTTCTGAGGCGTCTCTCACCCCCAGTTCTTTGCTGAGCTGTTCAGGCTCTGCTCGGGGCTTGATACGTGGCAGGAAACACTCACCTCTCTCTGTGCTTTCCTGGCTTGTTTCTCCTCTAATTTCCTCTGCTTCTTTGCTCCAATTTTCCCAGACACCTGAAATTCTGGCGCCTCCTCAGCATCCTCTTCCTCTGCAACATTGCACAAATGACAAATTGTAAACTGCCTGTAAAAAAAAACCTCCCTTTGAGAAAATTCCCGGGAAAGCAGCAGCAGAGGGAAAGGAGACACACACACACACACACACACACACACTTCAGGCAGGACCTATTGGATGGAAAAAAAGGCAAAAAAAAAAAATCATACAAGGCTGCCAAAGCCACAGAGCAGAAGTAACAAGGCAAACACACAGTAAGTGAAGGCAGAAGTAAAAATTCCCTTGATCTTTTGAAGGAAGGCTTTTCACGAGTGTTTCCTGCTTTCCACAACTAAGAGAGGTATTTTCTCTTACACATAAATTGTGCTAATGGTGTCATTATGTATCTGCTGAACGACTGACTTTCTTCCCAGTCACCTTTAGGCTTTGCACTACAGACATCCATTGAAAAAGTGGGATTCAGAGGCACACCACTCATCCACTGGTTCTGGCTGGATATAACTAACCTTTAAGGGAAGAGGGGAAAAAAGTCCCTGAAATGTAAACCTGACTGCAAGAACATGACACGTTCAGTAGTTGCCTGTTTTATTGGTTGCTTGGTTGTTTAGAGAGGTGATTTCTGCCACTGTGAAATATGGGAGAGTCTTGCTCAAAGGGTGTGCAAATGAGTATTTCTGCTCTCTCAGGGACTAAGGAAGAAGAGTTTTAAAGGCTGCCACTTCCTCAGGAAGCTCAGGAACATCTGGCCACCTCATTTCCTGGTCTAGAGTAGTCCTTGATCCCACCACATAAGCACTGTGGACTGACCTCAACATTCCAAGAGAAATCTTCAGCTCACCCCATGGAACACCACACAAGACATGGAGATTCACGTGCCTGAATCAGATGGCAGGATCAAAATGGAAGATCTTCACACGTGGCTCCCTTTTTGGGCAACATAATTGATCTTTTGAGCACCCACAGTGCTGGTATGCTTGATGCTGACTTCAGATCCAGACTGGAAGAGATTTGGCAGGGCTGGTGCCAGGATGTTTTCTGTAGGGAGCTCCCTGGTCCCCTTTTTTGGGAACCCCAAAAGCTGCTGTAAAAGGGGCACATGGATGAATGAGACCCCCTCTTCTTTTATATGCAGAATTAGGTTTGAAACACTCTTGTTTTACTGATTCCAAGACACAGGACAGGACTATGGTTAAGCCACAGAGACACATCATGAGAATCAAATGTAACTGAGGGCTGTGTAGGTGGCTCTCAAATAACCGAGCTGTTTTCAGGAGATGGAATTAATATGAGCCTGGTTGCTGAACTGGGCTTCAGAGAATTACTGGTGCCTCATTACTGAGATGATCAAAAGGGTTCCCCCTTCCTACACCACACAGAGCAACGGGGGATACTCAGACTTGACACAGTTGCTTCTGCAGTTCTGCTGAAGCTTAAAATAACTTTATTTATATTTCAAATAGGGAGTCAAGGGGAGTTCCAAACACAATGGGTGAGCAACCCAGCATTAGCAGTTATTACTCCAAAATGAACAGCTCAGTACTGGTATTATTGCTTAGAAAATTATTTCTGGCAAACACCACGAGCATAAAACACCGTCTTTGACACTGTTCCACCCGAGGCTCTGAGGGCTTCTCAGATTTCATCTATATTAAGATTACCTGAGCCAGACATTAGGCAGAAACCTAAGCAAGGCTTTTAAAGCCTTATTCCAGTCCTGGATCAAACATGCCTTTGTTCAGGAGCATTTGCTTTCCTCCTGTTTGAAGCACCCGATGCGATCCCTGAAGTACCACGGGTGGTGCAGACACAGCCTGTGATTCAGCAGAGCTTGAAAGGCCAACACTGCACTAAACCTGGGTGCAATTAATGTGTTCTAAATAAACCTGAGCGTGCTGACAGGAACATAAACACGGGGGAAAAGTATTTGCTGAATCAATTTGTTATTACAGCAGAGCATCTCCACCGAAAGCGGAGAGGTTGCTGTATGCAGCCAGCAAGATTTCTTGACTTAATTTTAAATAAAGCAGAAGCTTCTAATAATCACTTTTCACACACAGAGCTGTGACAACAACAGGAGACTCCATGGGGGGGTCAGTTCCATAGGAACATGCATTCCACCTACTCCTGAGCCTCAGATGTGATGCAACATGTTAATTGTGTGTGAAAGCAGTTTATCATCACCCAAAGCACTACAGTTGGGCAGCCTGGGTATGCACTCAGCTGGGAAACACAGGCATCAGACATCATTAAAAAAGCCAGAGGGCAGGGATAGATGGGATACTGAGAAGGAATTCCTCCCTGTGAGGGTGGGGAGGCCCTGGCACAGGTTACCCAGAGAAGCTGTGGCTGCCTCTGGATCCCTGGAAGTGTCCAAGGCCAGGCTGGACAGGGCTTGGAGCGATCTGGGCTAGTGGAAGGTGTCCCTACCCATGGCAGGGGGGTGGAATGAGGTGATCCTTCATCTCCCTTTCAACCCAAACCATTCCATGATTTCCAGAGCTTGCAAAGTATTCCCAGAAGTTTCCAGCACCAAGAGGCAGAAAGCAGAAACAACCTGACTCAGAGTGATGTTTTCACACCACTTGACATGTTCTGCTTTACACAAACATGGTTTTGCTCACCTGGCCAAGCCGAGAGGCAGCTTCAGGGAATCTTTGCTTTCCCTTACTATTTTGAACACACTGAGAGGCAGCACAACAGGAAAAAGCTAAAAGTCACAAAGGCTGAGATTACTTTTCAAAAATGCTTCCTAATACCGTCAGCTGGAGTGCTGATGTTTTCAATCATGACAGGAATTTACCAGCTACTGTGTACAAAACAGGCAAAAAGCTCCAAAAGAAACAACCAGTACATATTTTATTTATCACAGAATGGTTTGAGTTGGAAGGGACTTTAAAGATCATCTCATTCTCCCCTCCCTTTGGGCAGGAACACCTTCCACTAGATCAGGGTGTTCCAAGCTCCATCCAAAGTGGTCTAGTTGTCCATGTCATCCATGTCAAAGAGTCCAGAACTTGCATTAAGTTCTGGAAGTGAAGCAAATGGATTCCCATCTGCGAAAAAGAACTCACAAAAAGTCCTTAGGGCAGAGCCAGCTGCTTTATTTACTATTTATGCAGCACCTAAATAAAGGAGTAGAGAAAAGAGGGGAAAAAAACAAGGAGCTCATCTTGAAAGCAGATGATGTTATTAACAGCATGTTATTAACATCAAAGAGATGTGTGACACCAGCCACTGAAGGGAATTGGACCAACATATGGAAAGGTGTGGGCACTCCTGAGTAACACAGCCCTGTGGTGGGACTAATAATAGCCTAATAACTAGTCATAATTTTAATATTTTTTAATTTCTTAATTTATTTTGGTTTATCTCCAGTTTAGAAACAGAACAAGACATTGGTTAATTAATCTGAAGCCACAAAATCGGTCAACGCTTGGGACAGAAAAAGTGCAGCACAAACAAAGGACATCAGACCTTTAGAGCAGAACTCAAACGACAAAGTTTATTCTCAAATAAAGTCATTTGGCAGAAGTGAGAAACCACACACCTCCCTCCCCCTTCCACAGTCTGTGCTCGAACTGGCTCCAGGAGAGACACACACTGTGGGCACTTCGATAACACCAAAGTCACTGTATGAGTAGCAGCAAGTCAGAATTGACTTTTGATTCACTAGTTGGGATATTAGTCAAAGTTTAACTGTACTAGAAAGGTTTTCCTACTGATTAAGCATTAAAATGATTTCAACCACCGCAATTAATGCAGCTCCATTTCACCAGAACCGTGTGGGACCAACATCGCTGCTTCTAAATTTACACATTTTCCAGATCTTTCAGCTCTCAGAAAAAGTACTTCTTATTTTAAGAAATTTCAGCACAAACACATCCTTCTCAGATTCATGCACAATATCCATCACGGAATGGGGATCAAAAATTATCTTTTAAATTATTTTTCCCCCAAACTAGCAGAAAACACTCACGCAAGATTTTTCTTAGCTGCAAGATTTGAATGCTACAAAAAGCAATAATGGGTATTTTAACATGCCCAATTATAATTTTTAAAGCTTTAAAAACCTTTTTTGTGTTGTGCTTTTCTTTCCCAGTAGTGACTTACAGTTAAAAAGAATAGTTCTGATCTCCAAGTCTTGCCATGCAAAAGAAGAGAGGAACTCATGATTTCATTTATGTTGGACTTTAACTTTTCTTTATCATGTTTTATTTACAAGCTGCCAAAAGTAGAGAGCCCATAGCCTGTACCAGTTTGGAACAAATAATAAAAGTAACCTGACAAAACCAGATTATTTCTTTGATGCAGTCCTTACTTTCTGTTTGTTAAAAAAAACAAACCAAACCATAACAGCCTACACAAAGTCCCATTTTTTGGCAAGACTTTTTGCAACAAGTCAGAGAGGTCATTCCTGAGGTGTGGAAGTGAGTGTCTTTCAAAACTAAACCCTTGAAATCCTTCCTGGAAACGCACTGGGCTGTTTAGGCTCTCCTGGCACGTCCTTCCCTTCTTCCTCATTTCTTCATGGAGCTCCCACCACGCCCAGGGGGCTGCCCAGTGGTCTTTGTTCTGCTGGACACTTGGAGATGGCTGTAATTTCTTAGAGAAGTCTGTTTTCTTTGTCACCTTGCCATGATCGAGGTAATTATTCACCTCACCATTTTCACCTCACCATTTTCAGTCAACAAAAAATGCCACCCCCTCACACCAACAGCAGAAAGTGCTGGTTCAAGACACCCTGTCAGGGGACAGAAAACCTGGGCTGCAAAACCTGTGTCCTACTCCCCAACTACCCAAGCAACCAGGCAGGCAGGTTTTCTCCTCACATGTTTGCACAAAGTCAGAAATAATGTCCAACAGCCCTCCAAGCTAACACACATTTGCCTCAGATCCTCAGCCTCGTTAATTTTACCACAGCGGGGTCAAAATGACCCCAACACCATTCCTGCCATTATTTGTTCATCCTCACAAGTTTCTCGTCACTTGACAGGAAATTTTTTTATGGGAACATCAAGTGGCTGGGTCACTTTCTGCTCCAAGACACAAAAAAACACAGTGTCAAAGTACCTTCTTCACCTCTGAGCTCTTTGCAGTAGGACAAGCTCAACTGGAGGCCTGGAGTTTTTCTGCACACGACCAGCAACCAAGAGAAAAGTTTCAATAAAACACCTTTATGTTCACCCAAAGGTGATCAGAGTCCAAGTGGATGCACTCAGAGCATCAGCCAGGCACAAACAAGAGCTAAGAACACCCTCCTCAATCAGTAAATAAATGGGATTTGAAACTGGAAAATGGCTAATGCTATTTATCCACACTACCCCATGCTCCAAAGAATACTCAGCCCAACTCCAGTTTATCCCCTTTCCCCTTGCTCAGCTTGGCCTCTCCTGCCCTAAATGATTAATGCCTGAAATCCTCACTCATTTATGCCTTGCAGCGGGTTCGTTTTCATCTTGGCTGTAACTTGCCCACAAAGCCACCTCTGTCTGGGTTCAATTTAAATTAAGATACACCAGAGCTAATTAAGTCTGCGAGCTGGGATATCAACCCGACCACATGAATACACAACTCTCCTTCCAGACTCCTTTTCCACAGGGAAAGGAGTAGGCACCCTCCTACAGAGCACACCGACTTTAACAGGGCTGCAGGAAAGGCAGGAATGTTATGGCTGGAATTAAATTGGCCAATTTAAGGCAATCAAACCCATTTTTCTAAAGCCAGCCTGGAAGTCACGCTGGTGGAACACGCTCAGGGGTCTCAGTCATTTTGAGAATCACTTTGTCACCCGGGAAAACTGTCTCCCCAGCAATCTCTGGCCATCAGAAGGTATTAATAGTTGTTGGTTTTCTAACTGAGACCTCCTTTGAGAACTCGACTAACCACTGAAAAGCATTGCTCAGCACACCGGGGCAGTGTGGGCACCCAGCTGGGGGCCTGTCCCACAGCACAGCCCACACGGAACCCGTGAACAGGGAACCCACCACCCCGTGGTGTCATTCGGGTGGGAAAGTCGAGCCATTTAGTGCTTCACCCTTTATTTTCAGTCTGTGAGAATCTCCAAGTAATTCTGGGGTCTCACCCCACCCCACTGAGCTAAAGAAAGGATTACAGCCTGGTTTAGTTCCACTGACAGTGTAGATTTGAATATTCAAAATACTCACTGACTATCCTTTTCTGTATTAAGTGACTCCTTATGCAGACTTGCAAGTAAATCAGATTTCAGCTACAGAAGGAACAACTAAAAGTTTTCAAGATCCTGACCCTGGTTCCCTAGAGGGTTTGGGGTTTTTTTTCTTCTCCCCCATTAGTCTGTCAAAGATTTGAGTCCTGGCGCAAAAACAACTCAGCACAGGCAGCAGAAACCATGGGCTACCACTCTACCCTTGAAGCTTCTTTCTCATTCTGGAATTGAAATCTGATTGTTGGATGGAAAACAGAAAACCCTCGTGGGTAACCACAACTCCAAAGTCTGCAAGTGCTGCTTTGAGGCCGTTTCCCCAGCACAGCTGGCTCCCAACAGGCAGAACACAGACCCAGCCAGGGCCTCCTCACACCCTCCCCGAGGGACGGTCCTGGGTATCTTGCAGGGTTGGTGAAGAAATCACGTCTGGGCAGAAGTTGGAGTGACACAGAGGAGGATCAGGCAGCTCTGCCCAAAGCTCAACACATTCCACACACGGGACAGAAACTTCCTAGTGAAACATCTCAAAGAATTCAACAAGGAAAAAAGAAACCCACTCCAGTGGTAGATGATCAGAAGCCTCCTAAAGCAATACGAGCTTTTACAAGGCAAAACTGAAGAAGCCAGACTGGTTTGGTTTTGGTGTTTCTGTCTGAACTGCCAAACAACTTTGCTCTTCAGCCCTGGGTGCCCCAGCTGGTGCTGCACTGTCTGGCATCACACACCACTCTCTGTACTCTGGGCTCTCTCTCCGTGTGAGTCAACTACTCCTGTGACATAAAGCTCTGCTGTGGGGAGAACTTGCTGCTTCAACAGGCTGCAATGGAGGCAGTAACCTGCCCAAACTGCTTTACATTGTACTGACACGGAGAAAATGCACTGAGGGGACAAATCCAAGAGGGATTCCAGGCCTAGGTCATGTGTCCACAGAGTGGGCTTTAAAACATGTAATACATCATTTTCCAAGGGGAAAAAACCCCCAAACTCCACACTACTGCAGGTAGCTCAGGGCCAGGCTAAAAGATTTGCACAGACAGTCAAAGACAAAGGAGGGGTTAATTTTAATTAATAATAGCAACACCTCAACGCTGGGGAACCAGGGGCAGAGGCTTCTCTCCACAGCCACACTGCTCAAGTCTGTGCTCAGTCTCCAAAGGCTTTGGTGTTCCTGTTGTGCACCTGTGCTCAGGCACTTGGAAAAACCATCCCAAAGATACAGATAAAACCACACACAGAAGCACAAAACAGAAGCACGGAGCGAGAAGCTGTTTTAATTTGGAAAAGAAATTAGAGAAAACAAATAAAAGAGGGATGTCATTTCAAAGGAAACTTCATGCAAGAGAGGCAGTGCTCGCATCTGATGTACAGAAGGCTGCAAAAGAATTATTTATAAAGCCCAATGACACAGATTCTTCTATTGCTAAAGTGACTAAGATAAGATGAGCCGTTTGCTTTGACAGCTTCACTGTCGGCCTTCAGCATTCAGACTTTTGATGTCTGGAGTTGAAAACTAAATATTTTTAGACTCCATTTTCTTTCCAGGGTGTTCTCACATGAGAAGAAACAACCAAAGTTGAAAAGTTCAGGCCTGTCCATTCTCCATCTGTGAAGCTGCTGAACATAATTAGCTTGAAGAGCACGTTTACCTGTCAACGTGAAGAGCAAGAGGCTTTCTACAAACTGCAGGGTAAGAAAGGCTGAACAAAGTGCAAACAGCCTCTAATCAAGGCATCACACAGGTGTGTGCTCACTGCTTGAACCTACTGCACACCAAAAAGGCACCCTGACCTCCACTGCAAACCCGAGTGAAGCAAACCCCATTTGAGCAGAACCCTGAACACTTCACCCACAGTCTGAAAGTGGAAAGAATCCAGTGAGGTGAATCATGGTGAGATCATCTCTGTAGCAATAAAGATAATAATGTGTGAAGCTTCAGCAGAAAAGGAGGTGATGCTTACAGGGTGCAGAAAGATGTTATTTATCACCCTATTTTTGTCCACAACCACACCACAGACATGCAGCTATGAACTGTAAATCCAGCATGGGTTTTACACAACTCATTGGCAACAACCTGCTGGCAAAATGCAGCAGTCTGGGGTGATCTCCAGGGAATCAGCTTGGTCCTGACCACCACCTGGATGGGCTCTTTGGAAAGAGAACTTCAGATTTTGCAGGGATTACATTGGGAAATTAATGCTTCCCACTAATTTGCAAGAAACCAGTATTTTACTGCAGCAAGGCAGTAAATGCAAGGTGTGGATTCTGTTTTCCCAAATTGAACTTGCACGGCTAAGCAGGAAATACCAAAGGCAGTTTTTAGGAAGTAAGTGAAGAATATGTTGTGATGCACCAACAAACAGCCAGGATTCACCTCAGAAGGGGGCAGACACTGCAATTAAGGGGTGGGATCTACAGACCACTGATGAAGTGGGGACAGGGACAATCATATTTCCTAAGCATCCAGATGTATTAAAATGTAGCCATCTAATTTATTATTTACCTGTGGGTATAAAAAGAATTATTACTAAGAGAATTCTTCAATTTTTAAAGAAAATATCATAATTCAGAGTCTGTAATTCAGTTAAAAAAAAATTAAGCAAGCCAGTCTAGATTAAGGTTATCCAGTAAAACACTCTACCTATATGTTCACTGATATAAATGCAGTCAGATTACGGTCAAGCTGGAAACAATCAGGTTTGTTTTGATGTTTGGAAGCCAGAGTTACCTTCCCCCCACTCCTCAGCCTGCTGGGCTCTCCTCTGGGCCATCAGCCGGTTTCCCATGTTCCTGCGGCGCCGGGGCACCCCCTCTCCCCTCTCCTCCACCTGGGGACGAGGCCTGGCCACTGCTGCTGCTGCCACATTCTGCTGGTGCTCCTCATCAGCTGCAAAAAAACAAAATATTCCTGCTTAATTTAATCATTTAACGCGTTTTTCCCTTCTGCCTTCACTTCCGAGTTACCAACAGCGAAGACCCCGAAGTCCCTTTTCCCCCCCTTTCTAAAGTATTTTGATTTTCTTTTAAATTTTATTTTCATTTTTTACTTGTGTAACTCAGAAGTAGATTCATCTGATCGAAACCTCAGAGCAGGAATCCTTGAGAGTGGAATATGTAAATTGTTAAACCCGAAACAAAACCCCATTAGCAAACAAAGATCACAAATTACAGCTGAAATAAACACAGTTATAGGGTAACTTCACTCTGTCCCATGGATTTAAATTCCCACAAGCACATGTAGGGGCAGCAGGACACCAAAGGTCACTGCAGCTCCTCTCTGAGTATTCTGCAGTTACTAATTAAGATCTGACAAATGAGGAATATCCTGACAGGAGCAGCTGGCAGGAAGGAACTGACCGGTTTCAGGACTCGTTTCAGAGGTTTTCCATAGAAAACTCTCCACCAGGTTTTTTTTTTTGAGACCTCCTGTTGCCATTAACTACGGCAGTCAGGCCAAAACAATCAGATAATGGTAAAACATCATCATCCCTGATACCTGCTTTGCATATTCCGTTGATAAGCCAAACTGATATTTGTGTATGTTGTTACTTGCTCAATCCTGCAAAGTATTAAGCCTTAATTCAGGCAAATATTCAAATGATCTCATGGAAATCTGCAGAACTAGTCATTTACTTCATCTCAGCACACATTTATTTTGTGCTTTGCTGGATTATATTGTGTCCCAGCAGGAGCACAAAATGCTTTCCACGCTCTGCCAAGTCTCCAGCATCCTCTCATCCAAACAATGCCTTCCTAAAAAAATTAATATTTGCATATCTACCATCAGAAAATGAGATTCATTATGACAACTATCCTGGGATCAAAGGTGTGCCTGCAGCTCACCTCAGTGCATCTGAAACCTTCAGAGCACCTGACTTTGGGACTGATAAGGGCACAGCTGCAGCACCAAGCTCAGCACAGGCAGCATTTGACCAGCAGAGCCCTGAGCCTGCTCTGTAATAAGTCCCTAAGTCCAGGCTCCAGAGATCCCATTATTTGCTTCAGGGCTTGTCCAGTCCTATTCACAGCATGACAATGCTCATTTTGGATGCTACAGGTAATATTTTCCTGCAAAGGCAGAGCAGCAGATCACTTATTGGTCACTGCTAAATGCCAGAGACACTCTGCAAAAAACCTTTTACACAAATGCATTATTTCCCTTACTAAAGTCTTGAGATACACTGCAATTCAAACCTCAGCATCCCTTCACCTGCAGAAGTCAGTGTGTGTCTCTCACTAATTGCAAATACTCATTCATTCTGGTTTTGGTTCCTGCTGTCCTGTGAAACAGAGACTGTTTTGCATTTTGTGAAAGAGGAATCTATTTTTATAAGCCATGTATTTATTTCAGACTGAGGAGCTTAGCCCTCACAGAGTGAAACGTGTGAGCCAAGCCCTCCTCTTTTCCCAGTTTCATTCTCTACAGGACACTTGGAAATTCCTCAAAGGGACGAGTGTGAACGGGGCTCAGGCTGAAGCAAAACTCACCAAACCTGACCCATATCGTGGTCAAACACACAAGGCAGCAACTGGACTTGTCAAATCTCCAAAACAATCACACAAACAACAGAAGACACCCAGACACTCTGGATTGTCATTTTATAGGAAAAAGATATGTTTTAATAAAGCTTTTCTTCTTCTTCCCTCTTCCTAAAATATTTATCTTGACTCCAGTTTCTTTTTTAATAGCACACAGTGGCTGGACATGAGCCCAGGGGTGCCCAGGTGGCCAAAAAGTCCAATGGCCCCTGGTCTGTGCCAGCCCTGGTGTGTCCCAGCCCCAGGGCAGTGCCCGTCCCTGTGCTGGCACTGCTGGGGCACCTCCAGCCCTGGGGGCACTTCTGGGACCCTCAGACAGGAGAGACATGGAGGGGCTGGAGCGTGTGCAGGGAAGGGAACGGAGCTGGGAAGGGGCTGGAGCAGCAGGAGCAGCTGAGGGAGCTGGGGGGGCTCAGCCTGGAGAAAAGGAGGCTCAGGGGGGACCTTCTGGCTCTGCAACTCCCTGACAGGAGGGGGGAGCTGAGGGGGGTGTTGGGTTCTGCTCCCAGGGAACAAGGGACAGGAGGAGAGGGAACGGCCTCCAGCTGTGCCAGGGGAGGGTCAGGTTGGATACTGGGGAAGATTTTGTCACTTAAAAGATTGCCCAGCCCTGGCACAGCTGCCCAGGGCAGTGGTGGAGTCCCCATCCCTGGAGGGATTTAAAATCCCTGTGGATGTGGCACTTGGGGACATGGATTAGTGGTGGCCTTGGCAGTGCTGGGGGAATGGTTGGACTCGATGATCTCAGAGGCATTTTCCAACCTTTTTGGTTCTAGGATTCCACAGCTTCTCTTTGCCGGGCCTTCAGCTGGGGCAGTCCTTTCAAAAACATGAATGTCAGTCACTGCAATTCTTCCCAACCTTCACAGGAGAAGAAAATCCTCATTTACTCTGCTGCAACACAGCTGAACCTGGTTCTTCAGGGGTCAGAGATCTGTCTACGTGACTCCAGCCACAGCATTTGCTGTGACATCCAGAAAGTCAAGCCGTGCTCTGTCTCCCTCTGAACTTTGTCAGTGACGGGGTGGCACTGGAGGCTTCACAGAACACAGAGGATACACTTAAAAATCACTTTGCTTTGATAATAATTCTCTCTGGGGTCAGTCCCTGCCGGTTTTTTCCCCTTCCCCTGCAGCACAGGGCGGGGTTTGGCTGCTGCACTTCTCTGAACACATCTCTTCACTCCCCTGGAGCTGCAGAGGCCTCAGAAGTGGCACCCCAGGATAAACCAAATCATGCAGAGATTAGTCACACAAAGACTAATTAGACTTGATACAGAGCCATCTGAGTGAGAATTAATGACCAGCACCACAGAGGTGAGGCAAGGGATCCCCAGGCTTTGCAGAACAGCAGGCCAGGCTAAATTAATTAGATAAACCCCTCAAATTAACAGGCAATACAAACAAAGCTTCAACAGATGTCTGCAAAACGGACATGTGTTCAGTGTGCATCTTCAGCTGTGTGTTCTGCAGTGTCTGACCCAGCCCTCCAAAGCCCAGGGAACACATCCTTGCTGGGCACTGCAGCTCTGCCTCAGCGTTCAAGAAGCATCAGCACAAGTGCAGAGATGATTTCATCTGACTTTTCAGCCAGTGCACAGCAACTGTGGCACTGGCTGTGTCCCCTTCCTCGGGGAGAGTGAGCAGAACTGTGCCCTGAAAGCAGAAATCTTTCCTAAACTGGGCATGAAGCACCAGCCCCATCACTGCAAAATGAAATCTTTCAGAGCCCAGGCGTTTTAGGACCTGAATTTCCACCCCCTGGGTGGAAATCTGCCCCTTCACAAAATTTTGCAAACTTCCACTGGCTCAGAGCATAAATATTTTTTTGGAGAAGCAACCCCTTGCTTATCACAGCAGCTCATCTTCAGCTCGATCAGATCAGCAAGTGCAGCAGGGTGTCACCTGGGCTGGCACGGGCAGAGCTCCACCTGCTGCTCCCTCGCAAGCTGGTGGCACTTCCCACCACGGTGGCACCACCCTGAACCTTCTGCCTTCGTGCAAAACCTGGGAAATCCAACCAGGAAGCGGCTCCAGATGCCCCAGGTGGAAGTGTGCTTGGCTTCTCTGCAGAGGGGCTTCGTCCTCCTGCAGCTCATCACAAACGGATGTAAAAAAGCCAGAAATGCTACTTGGGTTTTTTTCTGTTCTCGGCAGAACAAGTCCAGGCACGATCCTGCTGGGAACACTCTGCTGCTCCAAATGACCTCTCAAAGCAAATACAAAGGCACAGGATTTACCTCTTGTGATCCTTAGCTCCCTAAAGAAGGCAAGCCCTGAACATTTTAGAAAGGCAATTTCCATGACAGAACATAAAGTGAAGCTGCTGCCACAATCCCTGGACATTAACAGGAAAAGGTGAGAGCTCCCACCACTTTTCCAAGTCAAATGTCTCTGGTTTCCAAGTCCTTTCCATGTGGTAACGTAGATTTCCTGGCAGATTTACTTCCATTTTCCATGTAAGAAAAAGGAACGGGAAAGCAAATTCCTGCTTAAGACTAAATTTGGGAGGGGACTAAATTAAGACTAAATTAAACACCCCACAGCCCCAGCAGGTTTGAAAAAATAATTCCTGTTGTGCACAAAGTCATCCCCACCAGATTAAATTCTGTGAAGGATTTTATCATGACAGAAACCAGGATATTAAGGTAGAAATTACCTTAAAAACACAATAAAAAAAGGCAAGACCAATGTGGAAGTGTCAAAAAGTTAACTCTGAAAAAGAGGCTTCGAAACAATTGAATTATCCTGAATGTAAGCTAACTTTAACCAAGTTGCTCAAAATCAGTATTAAAGTTTTTTTTTTTTTAATAATTCACACTATTTAAAACAAATGTTTGGGCTTCAGTTTAGGACTCTGAAAGCTTAAAAAGAAAATCAACCCTCCCAAGCCCCACAGGCCCTGATTTATCTAAGTCCAGCTCAGGAAATGATGTCCCTCACTTTTACCAAAAGCTCAGCTCTAAGCCATTAGGAATACGATGAAATTCCATCAGTTTCCAAATCTTTCCAAGAGAAAGATTTAGACCAGGTCTATATAAGCAGAGGTGTGAGGGAAAACGTGCTGGAAAACTTAATTATTATTTAATTAATTTAATTTTCATTTCATTTATTTTTTTATTTATTTAATTTTATTACTATCAGCCAAAACTGCTTTTAACATAGAGTCTTTACCAGCACAGTCTTGCACTGAATAACTCTTTTTATACTGGAGGTGTGGGGTTTTTTTCCCTCTTAATTAAAAATTATCAAAGCTACTGCCCCCAAAGAAAAATACCACAAACTCCAACCCCAAACTACCCCATGTCTGCAAAACCTGTGGTGATACTGGAATTCAGTGTTTGTCCTGGCTAAACATCTTAATTTGAGACCTGGCAGCCAAACAACCTCCCTGCTCCCACTGTGGAAACACAAGCCTGATAAGACTGTGGCCACATCTGACTTCTTCCCATAACACTCAACTCCCACCCAAAAAAGGTCTTTCCATCACAGTGGAACTGGCAGAGTTTTTTATGGTTGGACTGGAGGATTTTAAAGGTCTTTTCCTTTCAGAAACTTAAAGGATTCTGTGATCTAACACTGGTCGGCAGTGGCACAGTGGCTGTTTGAGGGAGGGCTGGAAGTGCTTCATCATCCACCAGCTCCCAAAACACACCTGAAGTGGCCAAAAGGAGCAGAAGAGGGAAAGGGACCTGCCCACCTTCCTGTCTGACAGGAACATTAACCCAGGAGCTGCCAGGGAGCACCAAGGGGGCAGGTCCTGCCTGTTATCTCACAGCCCATTCCCTCCCCAGTTGCAGGAGAAGCCTGGGGGGGACAATCCCAGGATGGGTCAGGTTGGGAGGGCCCACAGTGGGTCCATCTGGCCCCACCTCCCTGCTCCAGCAGGGTCATCCCAGAGCACACGGCACAGGACTGTGTCCACCCAGTTCTGGAATATCTCCAGTGAGGAGACTCCACACCCTCTCTGGACAATCTGTTCTGTGCTCACAGTTAAAGTTCTTCCTCATGTCCAGGTGGAACTTCCTGGGCATCAGTTCCTGCCCGTTCCTCTTGTGCCATTGCTGGGCCCCCCCGAGCAGAGCTTGGTCCATGCTCTGCCCCCTCCCTGCAGACCCTACAGACATGGGGGAGGTCCCCTCTCAGTGTCTCCTCTGGAGGCTGAACAGCCCCAGCTCCCCCAGCCTTTCCTGCTCCCAGAGCTGCTCCAGTTCCTTCATGACCCTCACAGCCCCCTCTGGACCCACTCCAGGAGCTCCACGTCCCTGCTGTGCTGAGGAGCCAGAGCTGGACCCAGCACTGCAGATGAGCCTCACAGGGCTGAGCAGAGGGGAAGGATCCCCTCCCTGACCTGCTGGGAATGCTCTTTCCAGTGCACCCCACGATCCCATTGGCCTCCCTGGCACAAGGACACACTGCTGGCTCAGCAACAGCTTGTTGTCCCCCAGGTCCTTCTCCCAGAGCTGCTCCCCAGCAGGTCACCCCCAGCCTGTGCTGGTGATAGGGGTTGTTCCTCCCCAGGTGCAGGACCTGCATTTGCCCTCGCTGAATTTCAGAAGGTTCCTCCCTGCCCATCCCTCCGGCCTGTCGAGGTCCCCCTGAAGGGCCATAAAACCCTCAGAGGTATTGGCCATTCCCCAGTTTTGTGTCATCAGAGAACTCGCTGAGGAGGCAACGAACCCTCATGCGAGTCATTGATGGACAAGTTAAACAACAGTGAGCCCAGGACAGAACCCTGGGGGGCGCCAAAAGTGACAGGCCTCCAGCTGGACGCTGATCACGGCCCTCTAGGTTCTGTTCTCCATTTCCCTCCCCATTTGCAGGAGGAGCTTTGGGGGCATCTTCCCAGCCCTGGAGCGAGAACCTGGAAAGAATCCCTGACAGAACCCTCACAGAGCCCCTCACACACTTCCAACCCACGCCCCTCACTCTGGGGCTGCCTCAGGCCGGGAACCCCCGGCCCCCTGCGGCAGGACCACCAGGCCTTGGAGCCACCTGGGGCTCCTGCGGGCGGAAGGCAGAGCAGGACCGCAAGGACACCCCCCTGGGACGCCCCAAAACACCTGAACCCCCCAAGTCCCCCGAGACCCCCAAGAACCCCCCAACATGGCGGGTCCCCCTCAGGGGGAGCCCCCGGGACGTGGCGCCCCCTGGCGGCTCCCGCGGCACCGCTCCAGACCCAGTTGAGAGCAGGGCCGCGCCCACCGGAACGGTCCCGGGGGGGAGCGCGGCGTGGGGAGCGGCCCGTCCGGTCCGCGCCGCGCCGTGACCCACCTGCCCTGGCTTGCCCGCGGAGACGGGTGGCGAAGAAGAGGAGGACGGCGAGCAGCACGGCGGCGGCGGCAAGCAGCGCGGCGTCCATGGCGCGGCCCCGGCTCCGCCCACGGCACCCTTGGTACGGCCCGGCCCCTTCCCCGCCGCAAGGTCCCCGCGGCGCGGGCTGCCCCGCGCGGTGCCTGCGGCGGCGGGGCGCGGCGGGCACGCTGGAGGCTGACAGGCGCGGCGCGGGCAGCCCGCTGGAGGGGTCCTTAGGCGGGCGCTGAGGGAAGGAGGGGAGCGAGGAGTTAAAGGAGGAGTTAAAGCGGGAAATGGAGCGGGAATTAAAAACTATGAGGCAAAACCGCCCCTGAGCACGCCGTCCGTGGGCCTGGCCGCCCGGCACGGCGGCTGCGGGCGGCTGATGAGGCTGAGGAGATCCTCAGCCGTCACCCCGCACCGAGCCCTCAGAGCTGTCAGGGTGTCCCTGGTAATGGTGAAGCTTAAGTTACACCTCTGAGTGATCTCTGTCTTCTGCCTTTCGGTCTCTTGTGCGTGGGAATGGGATGAAGACGGAGCCATGCCAGGAGTGATGTCCTGAGCTGGCCTGGACCAAAGCAAACGTGCCCGTGACAAAATTGGAGAGGCTGAGAATGAGCTGGCCCAAAGGCAGCTGTCTGATGTAGTGATCTGGCTTAATTTGGTACAAGTGTAGGAAACCAGGCTGCCCAGAGGAGCTGGGGAGGCTCAGCCTGGAGAAAAGGAGGCTCAGGGGGGACCTTCTGGCTCTGCAACTCCCTGACAGGAGGGGGGAGCCGGGGGGGGTCGGGCTCTGCTCCCAGGGAACAAGGGACAGGAGAGAGGGAACAGCCTCAAGTTGTGCCAGGAGAGGGTCAGGTGGGACATCGGGAGGAATTTCCTCATGGAAAGGGTGGTCAGGCCTTGGAATGGGCTGCCCAGGGAGGTGGTGGATCCCCATCCCCAGAGGTGTCCAAGGAAGGACTGGACGTGGCACTCAGTGCTCTGGTCTAGTTTAAAAGATGCTATTCAGTCATAGGTTGGACTTGCTGATCTCAGTGCTCATTTCCAAGCTAAATAATTCTGTTATTTGCTTAAGAATCAGGTTTACATTGACGTGTGCAGAGCCAGTACAGGTGGGAGGGCTTTGGCTATAGATGGGTCGTGTTTCAAGCTGATCTAATGTTGGTGTCCAGACAAAGGGAGGGTTTGTCTCCTGGCTCTACCTTGTGTTGGCAGCAATGGGACAGAGCAGGCAACTAATTCAGTCTTTTTTTTTTTTCTTATTTCTTTCTGGATTTGTTTTTTTAGATCAAGACGAGTCTCGGCACAAAAAGATGCAGGAACTTGGGGCTGGAGATGGAGAACAAACTTCCCTCCTTTGGATGGTCACTGTTAGATCAGAAACCATTTTTCAGGCTCTGCCCCAGCCCTGTGAGTGAAGAGGGAAGGATTGTGGGTTTTACCCCATTTCACTTGCTTTGTGATTGTGAAGTTCTGGGTTATCAAACCCTTTCTTGCTTCAGAAGTGCCTTAAGTGTGGCCATTTGAACCACTCTTCGTGGGGGGAGTGTTTTAATAAGTTGAAAATGCAAATTAGAGGCTATGTGACATCTAAAGCAGTGCTGTAGCTAATTAGTCATAGCTGGGGACTCCACAGCTGCCTCTGCTCGTGTCATGAGCTAAAGATGACTTCAGATCTGTCTGTCACAGGAAAAACAGCTTTTATTGAGAGATTTGCTAAATTTTAGCAAAGTGGAACCAGGGACATGGGGGGAAGTTCTCAAAAAGGAACTGATCTACAGCCTGAATGTTTTATTGCAATGTTTTATTTTAATAATAATACTTTCAAATCTTATTTTGGAAGTCAGTTATAGAATCATGGAATGGTTTGGGTTGGAAGGGACATTAAAGACCATCCAGTTCCACCCCCTGCCATGGACAGGGAAACTTTCTACTTAGGTTTTTCCGAGCCCCATGCAACCTGGCCTTGGACACTTCCAGGGATCCAGGGGCAGCCACAGCTTCTCTGCCCAACCTGTGCCAGGGCCTCCCCACCCTCGCAGACAAGAATTCCCTCCCAATATCCCATCTAGCCCTGCCCTCTGGCACTGGGAAGCCATTCCCCCTTGGCCTGTCCCTCCATGCCTTGTCCCCAGTCCCTCTCCAGCTCTCCTGGAGCCCCTTCAGGCCCTGCCAGGGGCTCTCAGCTCTCCCTGGAGCCTTCTCTTCTCCAGGGGAACCCCCCCAGCTCTCCCAGCCTGGCTCCAGAGCAGAGGGGCTCCAGCCCTGGCAGCATCTGCGGGGCCTCCTCTGGACTCTCTGCAGCAGCTCCACATCCTTGTGCTGTTGTTCCCAGGGCTGGAGGCAGCTCTGCAGGGGGGTCTCAGCTGAGGAGGCAGAGGGGCAGAATCCCCCCCTGCCCTGCTGCCCACGCTGGGGGATCAGCCCAGGAGGTTTCTGGGCTGGGTCATGTCCCAGCCTCTCACCCACCAACACTCCAAGGCCTAAAGGCAGCTCCCCTTTCTTCCAGGGGTCTGTTTCTGTCTCTTAGGTGGATCCCAAACTCACTCTGTGTCACAGAGGATGTGTCCTCTGGTACCTTCTGAGGCATGAGGGGAACAGTTAGATCAATTATCAACAGTTCACAATTAGATCAATTATGAACTGGAGCTTTCCTGGTGGTTATTTCCAGGGTACTCATCAGACAATGGTTATTTTGTATTGTGTGTAATGGTCAGGATTGCTTGGAAAAATAAAACCTGAATGACAAATGTTGGATTTTCTTCTGTGTCTTTGCCTACAAGTTTAAGAAATGGTGGCTCTTTAATGAGAGTTCCTGTGCTGATTTGGGCTGAGGTAGAATTAATTTTCTTCAGAGTAGCTCGTGAAGGGGCTGTTTTTGGATATCACAGACTCATTTAGGTTAGAAAAGTCCTCTTAAGATCAAGTCCAACCATTTCCCAGCACTGCCAAGGCCAGCACTGACCCATGTCCCCAAGTGCCACATCCACAGGGCTTTGAAATCCCTCCAGAGATGGGGACTCCACCGCTGCCCTGGGCAGCTGTGCCAGGGCTGGATAACCCTTCCCATGAAGGAATTTTCCCAATATCCAACCTAAATCTCCCCTGGCCCATCTTGAGGCTGTATCCTCTCCTCCTATCCCTTGTTCCCTGGGAGAAGAGCCTCCCTGGCTCCAACATCCTTTCTATTTAACTTCCTTAAAATTCGTCCTGAATAGAGAACACACTGAACTTCTGAAGAAATATCCTGTAAGAATTACCTGTAGTCCTGTAACTGCTCAAAACCTTGAGAGGCGCCTCCAGAAAAAAGCAATATTAAAGAAATTCTACTTTTTATTTAGTTTGTTTATCTCTGCTGTAATTTGTACTTTGCAGATGTGGAGAAGTTGGATGTTCCCAGGTCCTGTTTGTCACCCTCCAGCTGATGGCCCTGCAGCCACCACACACTCGTGTGGGTGATGAGTGTTTTATTTGCCTGCATGGTCCCTGCTGCCTTTAATGAGGAGATAATATTAATGGTGGGATGTCACCTGCTGCTCTCTGGGCTGCAGAGGGAGCAGATGAGTTTTTCCTGTAGGTGTCACCAATATCCCGTGCAGAAACAGCTTAAACTCCAGAGGAACGACAGAGTATGGGATGCTCAGGTCAGTTTTGTTACACGCTGAATCTTCGGAAACATCTGACATCCCTTGAGGTTTATTTCTCAGAAACCTTTTCGTATTTTTTCTGATTTGCATCTGAAAAAATCCCTCTGGTTTCCTTAATAACCATTTGTGAATTTCAGAGGATTTTTGAGGCTGACTTTGCACCAGGACACTGGGAAAACGTGTGTGAAGGCTGCGAGGAGCTGTGGGTGGTGATTGAGTTGAGTGACGGCTGCTGGAGCGTGACTTGTCCCACTCAGCCTTAGAAATACTGCACTGTGGTGGCACCATCAAACCATGGAATGGTTTGGTTGGAAGGGACCGTAAAGCTCATCTCATTCCACCCCCCTGCCATGGGCAGGGACACCTTCCACTAGCTCAGGTTGCTCCAAGCCCCATCCAACCTGGCCTGGAACATTTCCAGGGATCCAGAGGCAGCCACAGCTTCTCTGGGCAACCTGTGCCAGGGCCTCACCACCCTCACAGGGAAGAATTTCTCTCTAATATCTAATCTAAATCTACCCTCTTTTATTTTAAAAATGTTCCCCCTTGTTGTAGTAATTGTCAGTCCTTAATCCCAGTAATCCATGTGCAGACCTCTGCGATTTCCTCACCTGGTGTGGGGGCAGCACCTGATCCTGGTGCAGGCAGATCTGGGGGAAAATAGGTGTCTTTTCAATTTATTCTTTATTTTGACCAAAGGTCAAATAGCACAATACCCTCTCAAATGCCTCATTTTATAGAAATCTTATAGAATCACAGGATCATAAAGGTTGAAAAAGCCCTCTAATGTTACTGAGTCCAACTGTTCCCCCAGCACTGCCAAGGCCACCACTAACCCCTGTCCCCAGGTGCCACATCTACACTTAAAACCCCCTTAAATTTACATCCCACCGGGGCTGGAGGCGTATCCACTTGTGTGAGGGATCATCACTCCTTTGTCCCAGAACTCATCCAGCTGGCAGTGGATCCCAGAGGGCTGGATTCAGGGAGTGCACGGTGGCCTCACGGATCGATGTCCGGCAATGAGGCTCTAAGCAGAGGCAATTCAGCTTCGTCTCTCCTAATAAACTAAGTGCATCCAGGAACTAAGTGTATCCTGGGCCCTGTGGCCAGCTGGCACAGAACACCCTCCTCCACACTTGTAAACTTGCCTTGCCTTCCAGGAGAGGGTGGCTGGATGCAAACTCCCCGCTGGGAGTTGTTCCTGGACTGGTCTGTGCACTGAACCCTGCCTAGGAATTATTTGGAATTATTTGGAGAGTGCAGGTTGGCACCCAGGTTTAGGCAGGGGAGCTTTCTAACAATTTTCTCACATGGATGTACTTCCCAGTGCCTGGGCATGCCTGGATTTGCAGCATGGATGGAACCTTCAGGTAACAGAATGTATTTACAGGGACAAATAATGCAAGTGCTGCCTGCCAGCTCCCTCCCACTTGGATATGGACCTCTGGGATTCTTCCAA